ATATTAAAAAAATTCAAATTAATTAATTATCTATATAATAATTTGCAGATTTGAATAATATTTAGAATGATCTTTTTGTTGGTTGCAGATTAATTGTCTAAATAGCCTATTTATGTACTTTAAAATATTTTAAAACTTAGTATTTTACTAACAAAAAAGTATTGTAAAAATTATTTATAGTTTTAATTAGTATTAATATTTATCCTACTATAATCTTTTTTTACTAGAATGCAGTAGATCATATTCAAAATGGTTAATAATTTGTAGTGAAATAGTAATTAATTGGTTGTACTTTTACTTGTAATCTGCTATATTTTCTTTTTGACTAAAACAGAAAAGATTTTTGTTTAAAATTTTATATTATCTTATATATACTATATGCATTATATATGCTATATATACTAAATATTCTAAATATGCTAAAGATAGCTCTATTTAAGCATAAGCCTTTTAAAATTTTCTGTTTTATTCAGGTTAGTTTTATAATTTTTTGATAATCATGTAAGACATAAACCTAGATCATTTATTGATTAGTGAATATTTTAAAAGTTTAAAATTATATATCTAAACTATAATCTAAAAAATAATATAATTATATTATTAAAGTTCTTTTGTATGAAAAAAACAACCTTTTATGTAAAGAAATCAAAACTTATAAAAATTTTTAATAAAATTTAGCTATATTTGAAAAAATTGCTTTAATGCTTCAAAAAAAAATTATATAAATAAAAAATATAAATACAAATAAATAAATAAAAAATACAATAAAAAAATGCATGCTAATGTATAAAAAGTTTTTGATAAAAATAAACTTGTGTTACTATGTTGTTTAATCTTTTAAAATTCTTCAGTTAGGGTGTGGCAACTTAGTGAAGTGGATAAGTTGTCATACTTCCAAGTGGTAGGTTGTGAGTTCAAAACTTACTGACAGTGAAATTTGGATAATCACCTATGTAATATATAGACAGATTATGGTGATAACATTTTGTTGATTATTTGGAATAGGATATCTGTAACTATGGTCATACCAGCATGACTGGCAGGTCTGGGGCATCTGTGTAACCTGTTACACAGAGGAATGCAAATTGGTACCGGTTAGTGCAAATCTAAAATAAGTCCTTAGGCTGTGTAAATCTATAGAACTGAGAAGCTGGAGCCCACTTGGAAATTCTGAGCAGAGAGATAACACAGATCTTCAACAGTACTACTATAAAAGCTAGACCTAGGAAATAGATACCAATGTGAAGAATTCGGGTAGGCAAGAACCTCAAGTAAGGAGTACCACCAACCAGGCCACCGGATTTCAGACCAGAGGAAAAGGATATTGGGCTGGCCTCAATATACCAAGAACAGGTCACAGTCCTTCTGGACTATCTGGATTGGGAGTCTTGGTTCAAAGCAGGGATATACTAAAAGTACTAGAGATATGCTGTGAAGTCAGTACTGGGATCTGGGTGAACTCTGCAAGAGTAGCCTATGTTAGTGTTCTAAAAGTAGGTAGATAGTTAACAACAGGAGGCCCCCTGTGTCTTACTGGCAGGTGACGTATTCTAAAATGTGTAATGGCCTGAAAACCAGTACAAAAAGAGTAGGTACCATACTTCTTAGACAGTATATCAGTTAGGTATATACGGGGGTTAGTTGGAGATTTCAATATGACAGAGTGGATGATCAGAGGGTTTAAATAGAACCTTAGGGCGGACTACTTAAATAGGCAACCAAAAGTTGCACATGTGACTAGTTGTACTCTTATCTCTATAAAAATAGTTGTAATAGCTAACCTGATAAAAGTCAATAAAGTATCACCACAAGTATAGCCTTTAATACAAAAAAAAAAAAAAAAAAAAAAATTCTTCAGTTGCACTAATATAAATAATTTTAAAATTATGTTAAACAATATTAAATTTTGTATTCTTTAAGTCAATTACAATTAAACATTAATTATATTTTATTTTAATTTATTAAACAGTCATTGTTTTCCTTTGATAAATAAAGTTTTTAATATTTGATCAAAGGTTTTACACATTAAAAAGTTATAATTTTCTATTTTAAAAATTACTAAATAAAAACAGTTGTATTCATTGATAAAGTTAAACATTTAAAAAGTTTTATTTATTTATTAATTTTTGGTTTTTTTTGCATTAATTAATTTGATATATATAATAATTCTAGGTTCTAAATTTCTAATAAGGTTTGAGTTCAAGTAATAACCTATAAGGTGTAACAAATAAATATCAACTAATTTATTTATATAGATAAATAATTTGTTATATTATAATTGGTTACAGCTATTTTCAAATTACACTGCTATTGGCATGACAAATAAGCACTAATTAAGTAAAAATAATCTAACAAAACAAAAAATAACTAATAATTTAATGTTATTGTTAAAATAACTAATAAAAATTAATTCAATTTTGTTTATATTTATAATTTTTCTTCTCTATTGCTTTATTTTTATTATATAGAATTCATAATCTATTATTATTTAAAGAAAAAATTGTTAATAAAAATAAAACTTTCTTTATACTATTATAACAACAAGCTTAAGATTACTCTTATAATACTTTGTCTTGCTCAATTTTTATAAATCACAATAATATAATTTTTAAAAATCTGTTACAGTATCATTTGAATATATAATAACTTCGATAGAACTAGTCTAAAAAATAAAAAGCAATCAATAAATATGTTTATAACAGTAATTGACATATAAAATAATATATCTAGTAAAATAAATTAACAAATTGAACATATTGTTGTATCTAAAATTTATACTAACTGCTCTAGTAGTATCAATAGATTATTACTAATTAATAATAATTAACCAATTAGATTATATTTTTATATATAATTTAATGTCAAAATAAAAACTACTATTTTCTAAAAAAAAACTACTATAACCCAACATTTTGTTTATATCACCATCTTTTGCATATTAATAAAAAAATTTTTTTTTAAAATTTTAGTATAAGACAAATATCATTATAATTATAAATTTGACTTTAATGTACTATTTTATAACTTTAAAAAAATGTTAATTAGTAAAAGTCTGTTGGTGTCACTAAAGTAGTTGTTAGCATTTAACTAAAGATATAACTTGTTTGAAGTTGCACCTAACTAAAATTAGCCTTTAAAATCAATTATCCTGCATGCACTAGCTAGCAGTTTTGAGCAGATGCTAACTTGAGTATCTGAAGTTTTAACTTTAGGCAAATGCCAACTTCAAGCACAACATTATTATTATAATTTTATAGAACAAAAAATTTATTCAAACTTTATTATTGACTTTGATATATAAATCTGATAATTAAAAATTAAACTATAAGTCAGATGTTTAATCTAATAACTAAAAGTTCTAACTCATTTTGTTTTTATAAATCAATATTATTTGACTTTAAAACCTATTTTATTTTTTTATTAACCAAAATTTATCTAAATCTATTATTACTATTGTTTTGTAAGAAATTATAAATTATCAGTACCAATTTAGCTTAAATAGTTAACTTTATTAAACCTTGAGTATTAAATAGGTAAGTTTATAACATTATAAGTATTCAGGCAAAATTTCTTAAATTAAAATATCAATGTTCAATTAATTTTAATAATTAAAGTAAAAATAAAATTTTGAAATTTGAACAATAATTATAATAAACTATTATATAATATTATATAACAAGACTTGTACTAAGAGTAGAGCATTTGCTTAAGAATATAACGTAATGAATTATTAAAGTTCAATTAAAAGTGGCTGAATACTTATAACTATATAAACTGAATAAATAACTTATGTAATCAGTTACAGTAATAATTTAATACTTATGTAAAATTAAAAGTTAATATTTATAAAAAAAGATTAATATAAAATTATATAAAATAAGCATTAAGAATATTAATTGTTTAGAGGGTTAATAAATAAATATAGTTAATTATTATAACTATTTGATAGAAGTTATCAAGTTTAAAGCTTTATTCAAAGAATGAAAAACACCTCTTTTATAATTTTGAAATATATCTGAATAGCTTTTATGTATTTTGGTTTAGCTCTAATTAAATATATACTTATCTTTAATTTAAAGAATACTTTTATCCTACTTTTATTTATTTTTATATGATTGGTCTAAGCAACTTTACCAGAATAATCTTTAAAAATATAGCTCATATTGTGGTATTATCTATTATAATTGTATTAGTACTAGATTTATAGTGCTATTCTACATATAAAAATTTTGATCCTGTATTGCATATTTGCATATTTGTGCATTATGTATATTAGTATAAAAAATAACACTATTACATGATTCATATTTTTGAAAGCTACTTAGTAAAGTTGTTTAAGCTTTGTTAGATTTAATTTTTTTTCTTATTCACCTCTAAGCTTTAGTTTAACTCTAATATTTTAAGCCTTAGATAAACAATTAAAAAATTTATAAATATAAGTTTTTTGTCTTGAAAATGGCTTTATTGAATATAGTAATTACTATATCACATAGAGTTTTTTTAAAACAAGGACTCTATATAACTAATAAGTAAGTGATGATAAATAAATAAATATTTGGTCTCTCTAATGTTCTGACTTTAGTTACCTGCCTAGCCTTATAATATTCTTGGGTTTATATACACAACATGCATTTTTAACACAATTTTTTTTAAAAAAAATATATACTTTTTTTTTAAAAAAATGTATTCTATTTTTTTACAACATGTACTAAGCTATACTATATTTGTTAACCAAGTTAATCTAAAAAGAGGTATGCCTCATAAACTAAATTAATGCAAATAAAAATAAGTGTACAAAAAATATCAAATATAGTCAAATCTTATTATAGTCATTTTGATATAGTTACAACCTTGATATAGTCACTTTGTTTTTTTGTTCCTAGCTTATATAAAACATATAAATTTTGACTTTCATATAGTTATAACTTTTTGTAATCACCAATTTTTTGTTTTCCAACCTGGTGATTATATCAAAATCTAACTATATATTATTTTGATTATTACTTAAACTAGAAACAAACATAATCAATAACAAATATTTATAAGATTGATGTGAAGGCATTATTATTTATACATAATTAGTGATTTTATAATGCTAGGACTTTAATTAAAAAGTAATAGTTAGATAATATAAATTTAATACAAAATCTATTTTATTTAAGTTTTCTTAATTTAAAAAAATTGCATGAATGTTTATTCAATCTGCATTCATATTGTATTAGTATGCTATTATATACATAACACTCATTAATAACTCTCTTTAACCAACTTAAGTACCTAGTTATTATACAAAAAAATTAAGAGTTTTGAATTTTATTTAAAAACCTATTTTTATTAGACTATATGATATTATTTTTATAAATTTTGTAAATAGTTAATTGACTAAAAAATAATAATCTAAATGTATTTGTTAATAACTTAAACTATATTAATTTAATTAATAATCTATCAGTTATCTAAAAAATAAGCTTAATGTAACATAATGCAGATCTTTTATATTTTTAACTATAAACAGAAATGTGAAGGCTATCTATCTAAAACTTTTTTAACTAAGTTAACAGTTCAAATAGATTAATTAAGATATTATCAAAAAATAATTAACCAATTATGTAAAATTATATATAAAAAACTATTGTTTATATAAAAATTTTATATAGTTAGCCAATTGTTTTTTAATAATATTTTAGTATTTACTAGACCAATTTGGATGATTTAACTACTATTAGACATATTTTAACAAGCTTTACACTTTAATTAATTGACTTAGACTGTCAACTTAGTATGAATAAAAAAGTTTAGATAGGTATCTTTTGCATTTTTATTTATAATAAAAAAACAAAAGATTTGTGTTATATAATACTAAGAACATTCTTTAGATAATTGGCAAATTATTAATTAAAATAATTATTACTAATTATTTGTCTTAATATAGTAGAAATAAGCTAATTAGAATAAAAAGACCATGTTTATATATAAGTTTGTTATTTTTTGTAATATTTTCAAGTTAATTAATTGTAAATAGTAGATTAGATTTTATAAATAATATATAAAACATATAATAAACTTGGTTTTAATATTTAATACTTTTTTTTAATATTATTATATATTGTTATAAATATATCTAAACCTAAAAACAAAAGAACAATTATTAAAGACTTACAAAATATACTAAAAAAACTATTATATTATAATATTTATAACTCAAAATAGCCCAGGTTCTCAATTAAGTAATAGCATTGATCTTATAAAAAAAACTATTTGTTTGATTTAAAAAACATTGTCAAAGTAATATTAACTTAACAGATAAAATTTGTAATTATATAAATGCATCATTATATACAAAGATATGTCATTGTAAAAAAAAAATAAAAATTTAATAAAAAATACTAAAAGAATAATAGATAAACTATAAAAAAAAAAAGTTTTAGTAAAAAGAATAAACAACTTATGTTAATAAAAAGATATTTAAACTATATTTAAATTCTTTTTTTTGTAATTTTCTTTTAAATACAAGTTGGATTTTCCTCTTGTAAAAGTAATTAGTAAGCACTTTAAATAAATCCGCATTAAAAAATATTAAATAATTAAATAATGTTTTTGACTATATTTAAAAATAAATAAATCTAATAAGCTAAATTACTATATTCTTAAACTTATTTACTTATATTGAATTTTCTTGTAATATTCTTGAAAATTTTCTTAACTTGTACTAACTCATAACTACTTTGTTAAGTTTTTGAATAACATTTTGCAATATTAACAATTCTGTAATAACAAATTGTTATATTTTTTTATTTGTATTTCTGACTCTTCTAACCAGTAATAATATGTATTATAAAGATAAATTTGATTTAAAAATATGAAAAACTATTATATAATAACTTATAAAATATATAAAATACTATTATATTATAATTATTGTAACTCAAAATAATTTAGATTTCTTATTAAGTAACAGCACTAACCCTATTAAGAAAAACTCTCTACTTAATTTGAAAGATATCTGTTAAAATAATATTATTTTGACAAATAAAATCTGTAATTATATAGATATGTTATTATTTGATAGTTTATATGTAGTAATTAAAAAAGTAAAAAAATTAATAAAAAAATTAATAAAATGATAACTGGAATATAAAAAAAACAAAAAATATTAGTAAAAAAAGGTAAAATAACTTATGTTAATAAGAAAAAGTATCAAAACCATAGAAGAATATTTTTTTCATTTTTTCTTGAAGGACTTCTTTCTTTTAAGAGTACATTTAGATAAACCTGTCTTAAAAAATCAATAATTTATTAAATGAATTTTTTAAATTGTGTTCTAAAACAAAGAGACCAAATCATAAACTTTTCATATGCTCTTTAAAGACCATCCACTTACCCTATTTGAATTTCCTTTGTAACATTTTTGAAAGCACCTTAACATGTGCAAAATTGTAACTACCTCGTTTTTGCTTTCAGTGACAATTCGTCACATTACTCGGTTCTACCATAAAATCCCGACATCTAAAATCTTGAAAACCATAGTCCCAACATCATGCAGCGTAAGAATTAATATTTAAAGATTAGTAATCACATTAACAATCATTGTCAGACTTTAAATCTTAATTGTCACATCGAGTGATGTCGAGATTATGGATTTCGAGATTTTGGATGTTGGGATTTTTTGGTAGAACCACATTACTCGTATCTGCATTCCCGACCATTCACCATCGTGATAATATATACGTTCTAGCCATGTAAAATAACAAATTTAATTTTGTGTATATTTATAAATTCATATAAACTTTTGTTTTCTGTTTCTAATATTGCAAAACGAATATAAAAATATGTAATTTGATTGGTTGATTGTCACGGGTTGACCTATAAAAATCAACCAATCAAATAAATGTCCTCATATGACCCCAGCAATCTTATCCAGCATCAATGATCACGGGAACAAAAATTGACCAATCAGATTCGTTTTATTCCAGACGACGTTAAAATTTAGTTGTATAGATGCTGTTTAATTTACAATCCGAAATAAAATAATAACATTAATGAAATAACTAGTTAACTATTTATATTCACTTGATAGATTTTTATGAAACCACGAAATTCATGCCTAAAACTCATATCTAAACCGAAACTTATCTAATTAATCGTTAGCTAGTATTATCATATGACAATAAATTGCGTCATTGTCCGAAACGAAGTGAAGGACTCGGATTTTCAGGTACATAACAAGTATATGCTAAGAGTCCCTTGAACTCGCACAGGAAGATCGAAATTCAAATCAAAATAGATTTACCCAAGATTTAGGTTGTGATAAGAATTCAAAAGAGTGTAAAAAGATAAATACAATACGCTCTTAAGAAAATTGGTATATGTGAATTTTATTGCTTAATTAAAAAAAAAGAAAATGTAATTTCTAAAAATTTATATGAAAAGTTGCAGAAATATTGTTAAAAATAAATTATTTTAGCATATTTTAATATAGCTATTTTAACATATATAGAATTAGTAACTATACTTTAATAGGAAAATGACATTGACTATAATAAAACCATAATGGGTGACTTTTAAAAACTTGAACAGTTTTTTCATCTTCATTATTAATTAACGACTTGCTCATGTACATACACGGTTCACTTGACGTAGCACCCCACACCCAAACTTTATCTACTTCTGTTAAATCATCTTGCGAATCTTTTATCGGCATTACGACGAATGGACCTCTTTGACGTGATGCTTTATGCGACCATCCAGCAGCAGTGAAACCAAATGATGATGAATATGAAAGCACCAGATCATCACATAAACTAAGTAACTTCATATCAATAAGAGCGCCTACTTCTGAACCCATATTCAAACTAACAGTATTAGCCATATTCATATTATCTTCCGATTGAACTATCTTAATAGAATTATTACGAGATTTAAACTCTTCACGAAGTAAATTTACTAATTTATTGCGGCCATCATTAGTATCTGCAGCTACGAAAATGGATATATCCTTTTTTTCAATTCCTAACATTAACATTTTTACTGTGTGATAATAATGTTCTACAGGTAGTATCATACCAGCAGGTGGCTTTTTCTCTCTTATATGTATTCCTATGTTATAATCACCAAAATTATTGCTTGCAAAATTTTCTACATGATTTCTAATATCTGGGTGTACTCTTAATAATTTTAAGCTAATAGCAGTAAAAATCCCATAATCAGGTATTTTTTTTTTAAACCATTTCCTATAATTAGGATTTGCCATTATTGGAGCGCATGGGTAATCCAATGTACTGATACCTAAAATATCATATTTAGTTACTTCTTTATTGCTAAAATTTCCTCTTGTCACTAATTTAAAATCATTATACGCTTCTTTATCATGTATATATTTAAAGGTACTATTTTTGTATAAATCTTTTACAATTTTCCAGTCATGATCGAAATCTTTCTCGTAATAA